GAAGCCGGTCGAATGGACGTCGCAAAATGGATTTAGACACATTCCGCATTTGGATACTATTTTGGACTTTTCGGTACCAAAAGTGGGCATTTGGTACCGTATTTGGAATTTGGTCCCTTTTTGGTGTCTAGGTACGATATCGGGAGTATTGGCGCTATCTTTGGGGTACAGGTCACGAAATTTCGACACGTGTTCAAGGGGGTGGTCAAGCTTAAAGGTGATATCGACTTGGACAGTGACCTACGGTTGGGAATGGCTTAATGATAGGTTGGCTATTAATTTGGTTGGTTAATAAACAGACTTGGACTCTACTTCTTCTGCTCACGACGCACGTTCTCCTCCCATCTTCTCCGGGCACGATTGATTTGACTTCCCCGGCGGGTCAAGGCACGCGTGTTACAGGTCCACAGAAGACCGATCTTGGATTGTTGGCCAATATCGAGAAGAGCGATCTCGGGATATCTGTCCCGGATCGATCAAGTACTCACACTCAACTCAACTGCTAGGGTAGCAGCAAGCAACAACACAAGAAAAAGGATTTTGGTTACAAGATCGCGAGACGGCTCAAGTGGTCAGAAGATCTGGACAAGTCGTTCAAGACAAGACCGAGCCAGATCGAAGCGATCTACTGGACATATCGGCGTGTTTCATTATGGCGAAACCAAGGACCGATCTGCCCACATTGCGCACTTCCGGCAAGATCGGCCGATCCCGGGACCAGATCGGACCGATCCCAACGCAAGATCGACGCAAGACTACTATTTGCTGAGTGAAGATTTCCGCACAGCAAAGACCCCTATCCCGAAGACAAATCGAGATCGGTGCGATTCAAGATCGAGATCACGACCTCTTTAACTAGTGATCGTCGCGACTCAAGATCAAGATCGCAGAACCCCCGTTCGTGGTGTGAAGATTTCCGCACCGGAAGCGAACGCTCAACCCAACCTCTTAGCGAGATCGACATCTCCCAAGGCCATTACGAAGAGCTCAAGCCAGCCCAACCGACGGGTACACAAGGTGAGCACAAGGTTATACAGCAAGGTACGGATCGGAGTACCCCCTCCGTGAGTCGGCAAGTCTGGTCAGGTGGAAGATCGACACTCACTAAAGTAACTTTGTGAGATCGACTTCACCACAAAGACCTTTAATATGGAATCTTTAGCTGAAGACATGGCGCGTTGGTCTCATATTACATAGGCGCAGACTCGTAGAGTATCCTGGAGAACGCAAAGGCTCACTTGGAAGACCAAAGAGTAAACACTTGAGCTGAAGATGGGAGATTCGAACTGAATGATCTAGAAGCTGTAGCTCTCAATACTCTAGACTGCATCCTATCACATGTTGCATCTGATCAACCTGGTTTATGCGCGTCCAATCATCCTACGCATCCAATAGTTCTACGCGTCCGATCAATAAGTAACGTGATCAAGTTGACGTGATAGACTTACTCATGTGACGTGGTGTCAGATTGGACACGGTAACCGGTGCAGCATCCATACTGCAACATCTAGATCCTTACGAGTACTACTACTACTACTACTACTACTACTACTACTACTACTACTACTACTACTACTAATACTACTAATACTTTTACTGGAACGACCAACAGCTTAAACGATGTGACGGTCATAAATCTATCAGAATTTCTTCTTTGCTAGCGTCTAATATACCTTAGTTTTCGCGATCATCTGTGTGACCAACCGCAATAGCACGAAAATACTCCGTCAGTTATCCACTATCTTATCTCTTCTTAATGTTGTTTGTCTTAGCGTCATCTCATGCTGCCTCAAGTCGTGATTCAAGCATCCATTTTAACATCATCCTCGCGCCATTTTGACGCTGCACTATCCATTCCATACGAAATTGCTAACGCGTCAGCTACACAAAACAACAAATTTACAGCTAATGAGGTATGAATATAGGAGGTTGAACTACTACAATAAATAGATATATTTAAGCAGCATTTTTCGATTCCAATCAGGTATTTTCGAACGAAGTTTCATAAAAACGGTGGCCTCATTTTATGGCCATAATCGACACCTGAAAGGGAAAATAATAAAATGCCCCATTAATCACAATAATATAAAATTACCCCACGTCTTAGTATAACGGAAGAGGCTCGACAACAGCAAGTGAGTAGACGTTGGCAGCAGTCGATGTAGCAAGTGAGTTAAGTATACATTTTTGGCGTTTTTATGCCCAAATGTAACATACGAAGTATCTACCAGCTCGTACCGTGCCTCTATCAAAGTACAAGGGCAAGTCAGCGCTGCTGCTATCGACACACACTGGTTTTTGGAGAAGAAGTTTACTTCCTAAGGCCATTACCGTCATCCTACACGTACTCTTGTCTATCACGAAATGAAGGAATGCTCCTAAACGGTTACTAATCGCGAAGGAGGTGGCCGCAAAGATAGTGATAAAGAAGAACAATCGCTGTAGCTTCGGTGCATCTCATGGTCACAACAAGTTGAGTTGCCAAGCCATATTTCAAGATGCCAATAATCAGGATGTATTTAAGAACTAACTGCGACGTCACCGGCAAACAAATTGACAGATTGGTATTAGCAAAGTATCGGATGTCTTCGCAGACAATACTCTGACGCTACACAGTGCTTAATTACCACTTACGTCACGTTTGCCCGCGCCCACGCAGGCGTTCTGCATTTTTTATTAACCTAATAATGATATATGTTGTAAGGCGCCACACTTTTAATAAGATTACGCGAGTCTGAATATGCTGGCTCTAAATTTGATGTACGAACCTTGTAGCAAAGCAGCACAATATCCAAGCTCACTTCATCTGTATCCTGCACCCACCACGCTACTTTTGAGAAATGCCTCTCATGTCGAGAATCATGATGCAGCCACACTTTAAACAACTTAAGCGCAGCACCTACAATAACAACGGCATCAGTAGCAACAACAGTAGCATCACCAGTAGCAGCAACAACATCAACAATAGCACCTAAAATAACAACAGCAGCAGTAGCAACAACAGTAGCATCACCAGTAGCAGAAACAACATCAACAATAGCACCTACAATAACAACAGCAGCATCACCAGTAGCAGCAAAAACATCAACAATAGCACCTACAATAACAACAGCAGCAGCAACAGCAGTAGCATCACCAGTAGCAGCAATAAAATCAACAATAGCTACTGAAATAACAATAACAAAAGCAATAACATCAGTATCAACAAGATTAGCACAGACCGACTGGGGCTGGACGTGACCAACCCTCGCCCTGTTTGGGGCTGGGCCGCGGAGAGGGCTCTGCAACTGGTGGCTGCAAGCGCAGCACGCCCGCAGCAGAACCCTCTTCGCGCCTCCCGAATCGGGCGGGGGTTGGTCACGGCCGTAAAGTGGTAAACGAAAACGATCAAAGACGTGTGTTTTTATGTGTACCACACTAACTTGAGTATTTTAGGACGTGGGGCATTTTTTATTTCCCTCACTTTAAATTACGCCTACATCGTAAAACATCCTATTTCTTTTTCATACGGACTGTCGATGGGAAACAACACAGGGGCCCTGATAATCAAAATATGAGAGTGAGCAAAGAAGAAGTACGTGATTTTATATGGCTGATTTCAGGCATGTCTACATTCGGTCGTAGAATTCGTTAGTGGACAACTTTTTTTAGTTTTGATTATTTATTGCATTATATTTTCTCTCATCGTGCGACCCGTTTTTTTGTTCTCGTCATCAGCAAGTGCATGTCACATTCATTCTAGTAAATTGTTTAGCACGAGATTATGCTCTTGACAATTGTCCGCAAACATGATAGTACTAAATATCAATAGCGATGATATTTATATCGACATCTTCACTGATATCAAAATGGTGTAAAAGGGTCATCCAACATAAGACAAGATGGATTGTGAGTAAATCGTGATCTGAAAAGTCCCGTGTGGAAACGTTTACCTGATACAAAAGCGGTGATGGATGGAAGTGAGTTGACGCCTGACCCGACAACCCATCGGAGGCTATACGTCGAGTTTGACAGCCTGCGAAAAGGCTTCCAAATACAAAAGGGAGCGAATCAATCGGCGAGGAAATCAATGATATGAGTTGCTGTCGCCGACATGCCTGTCAGGCGTCAATGTAGCGCGAGTGTTTTCGCTTTGCACCTCTTTTCAGCCTTGACCATAAACCGACGTGGAAGTGCATCATCAGTCAGACAAAAAAAACAGCCGATGTTTCTGTCTCGATCGGCTACATACAACAATGTATCGGCTTATTACAACGATGCTCTACCACCGACGTGTACATTGCGCGTACCATGCCCCACGTAATGAAGCAAATCGATCCGCGAATCGGTAACGTAACAAATTGATGTTGCAGCCAAGTTTTGCTGGCAATTGGTGTTGTTTCGTTTTGTCGCAAGTGAGCTTACCTAATACATCAGCGCGCTTCCCGCACTGCCAGTGTGCAGGGGTCCGGGATGCAAGTCAATTCTTCTATCACCAGTTTTACTGCCAACTTGTTTCGTTGCACTTGTAAGGATCAAGGTCTCGTTTTTTGCGTTCATTTTGGTGACCCGAGATCGTCCGACATTACTGCTTCCAGCTCAAACAAGTTTTGTCAACTTCTCTTAGCGGTGGCATTAAGTCACTTGCAATAATGGTCGATATCACCCACAGGAGAATTGTCCAAATTCTTGTTTACCACATGGTGCCAAAACTAGGTGGTTTTCGCCGACAGTGAACCAAAAGTCGGACAATGTCATGTCAATCTCGCTCTTCTACAGTCGATCCGAGTCGATACTAACAATAGACCTACTCGTCGTCTCGCTTGCCAGGCGGAGGAGAACAGCCCGTACCGCACTCGCCAGATGGGTAGCGTTCCGCCCAGAACCCCTTCGAGCTCTGCGTCATGATGAGTGACTCCACTCGTGCTCTATGCACACAACGCGACGCACTGTTCTCCAAGAGTGAGTGAGAGATTTGGTGAGGGCGAAACTATTTAGTCACGAGACCGCGAGCGCCTGCGATGTCCGACGCCCACGTACCGCAGTCGACACGCGCACGCAGTCGTGACTCCCACTTGGCGTCGACACGGAGAAAGAGCGCGTTTTCCTCGTTTCTGTCCGTGAGCAGCAAAGCCGACGACGACGAAGACGACGATGCGCACGCGCGCGCGTTGTGTGGGACGCAAGAGCAGGCAGGTGATGGCTGCGTGTATACGGACTCGTCACATGGATTGGCGCTATTACAGACCGAGAAAGGTCAAGACGCCAATGAGACTGGCAGCTTTCGTCTGGTGATGGCAAAATCTGGAGCTGATGTTGGACAGAGAGACGACAGGAGGAATGACATGAAGAAAGCGGTGAGGGGGACAACCGACGAGAGTGCTGTACTGCGTCAGGGCTGTCAAGAGATTGCTACAGGAGAAGACACGGTTGTCCGTGATAGTGATCTCTGCGGCAGCTGGTCATCCTGGCCTCGGAGCGTTGGCGCCGATGAAGAACTTGATATTGATGAACGTCGACCCAGCTTTTCGGACGAGCATAGTTTTACAGAAGCAGACAGCTTTACGGAAGCCGACACAAGTTTTGTGTGTCGCCCTAGTATGCTGAATGACGGTGACGACGATGATGAGGACAGTTGGCACGAAAAAGTACAGGGTGATTTCGATGATTGCAGTTTTGTGGATAGTAGCTTTGTCTATCAGCGACCTCTTTCGGAGAAATCTGCTGATGATAGCGGAGAGCGTGAATACGTGCGACCGAACAGCCATATAGAAAGTGAGTCCACGGACGTGCTGAACAATGGTGGAGACAGCAAGGAATGCGATGGCGTGTGCAGGTTGGAACGTGACACATCTGAAGCAAAAAGCGGTCATCGACTTACTTGGCTTGACAATGGTGATGATGATATCTCGACAGAAGCGGTTGGTCAGGCCTCTTCATCGAGTCCGCGTACCATGACAGCGCAGAAAAGTAGCTTTGTGTATCATCAGACTCCAGCAGGAGCAAACAGCGAGACGCAAGACAAAGTTTGCGGAAGGAAGAGTTTGGCAAGAAGCGGCAATTCTTGTGCATTGCGAAAAGACAAGATCCTGGTTGGTGGAGCAGATAACACTGCAAGCGCTGGAAGTGCAAGTGGTGATGCACCGCTGATCTTGAGGTCAAGCATGTCGAGTTCTATCCGGTCAAGTGTCGCAGTCTCGTTTGAGCTAGAGGACGATGACATGTCGCATCGATTGCAAGAAGGCCAGGTTGCATTGATTGGCGTGAAGAGTGACAGTGTGGGTAGTATCCCTTCGAACAGATGTGCCTCGCGAACTTCCTTTGATGAAGGCGACTCTAGAGCAGGGAATGCTGCACAAGTTTGTGCGGAAACGTCCGCTGCGACGTCGTGTGTGCATGATGTAGAGGATGAAGTATTACATAGGTTGCCTGGTCGTTGTGTCAGTAACGCAACTAGCTGCATCGCAACACGCACAGCAACAGCTGAAAGCGATGAGAAGTCGGTCCAAAGTGGGGACACAAGTGTAGACGATGACGAGGCACTGGTCACTAACGGCTTATCAAGTACCGACAAAATTGCCGAGTACCCTGTATATAGACGGTCGAGTGCTGTCCTACCGACAGCATCCTCACGACATACGGCAGCAACTCGCAAGTCTCGGAGAACATTGTTGCTGGACTCGGGAGATGGTAAGCTAGCCAACGACGATAGCCTTGGGTCTTTTCGCGGTAACGTAACATCTTTGCGAGCATCCGGATCACAAAGTGATGACCATTGTATCGAAAGTGGGATTGAAGTGCGCACATCAGTGGCGCGCAGGCCTTCGACTCCGTCCATGTCTGCGCCACGCTCTGGTCATACGAATGATAATGGTGACGATTTGCAAGAACGCGTTTCGTCTGGATGCTGGATGACATCGGACGCTCAGTGTACTGGAGAAGACATGTTTACGAAAATGGCAAATGTCGTGGGCGACGGTGCTGACCAGAATGAAAAGTGCGATGGGGATATGTTATCACAGGGCGCTGGCAAGCACCCGTCCAGAGACATTTCCGATGCCAACTCGGCTATGTCGGATTCTTCAGACCGCAGCTACAGCGACTCAGTCAATGCCGCTGATGGGCTGGATTGTAGTTATAGCGCGCTAGTAGATTGTGGAGAATCGCACTTGGTCCACAGTGACAGCAAAAGTGCAAGCACGAGTGTTTGTGACACGAGTTGGGACAGCTCTTTAGTATCTTCGGCGGCGTCCCAGTCATTGGCTGCGAGCGACGAGCTTCCTTTCGTCTCTTTCAATGCTGCGCAGCCTCCTTCTTCAGCAGGATCGCAATGGCCGCTGAAGCGAAGTACAGCCGAAGAGAAGCGTGCGTCGAACCGAGCAGTAGCAACTCCAGACCTAGACATGCCTGCTCACAAGACGGAACGGGTAGTGTACAGGCCAATAGTGATTCCGCGTGGCAATGACGACCACAACGCTGAGGTGTCCAGATCTCCGGCTGTGTCCTCAGCATACTCAACGAGTCCCGTACAGTTTTCATCTGCGGCTCTCCTGGCCGCTATTATGACTCGCGACGTGGTCGCAGACTCTCGATCTGGAAACGCGGTAGACGTCACTCTCGGCTCAAGACCTCAGCGTGTACCCCCACTCAAGACAAAACAGTTGCCTCGAGGTTTGACTTCCGTTTCAGTGTCAGCTCTGTCAGAAAGTGGTGCTCGAAGGCCTCCTTCATCGATTTCGGCATCGATACCAACGACGTCGTCTGGAAATCGATCATCTGTTGCATCATCGTACGACGAAGGTACTGATCGCATCGACTATACTGGAGTTTATCGTGGCTCTAGTTGTAGCCGGGGAGCATTGGACACGCACCGCAAATCTTCAGGAGTAACTGGATCTGAAGCTGGGACGACGGGAAAAGGTGAGCAACGGTCGCTGAACGGAAGGCAACGGAAGGCTACGCTCAATCCAGCGAAACCAGGGCGCTCAAAAAGCGATGGTCGTGCGACGCAGTGTAAGGATCGACGCAACGTAGAAGCCTTCTTTCGGCGCACACCCCAGAACGGTGTGCTCGCGGTCGACGAACGAGAAGTATATAGGCCAACAAATCGACAAGTGCGCGCTTGCACATCAGTGGATCAGCGCACGGACAGCCATGTAGGCCTACTGCGCAGTGTTGCTTGCCATAGTTCCAAGACGAGCCTGGTTATTGATCTGAAGGATTTGCGCAGTGGCGACGATTTAGCCGGATGGCACTTGAAGAATGGCGCTTTTGTATCGGCGCTTCAGCAACGAGACTCCCATCAGCAGGGGGCAATGGCGGTGACGATCGGAAGCGAGAGCCCAGGAAGTACAACGACTCGGTCGATTGCATCTCCTGACTACATTGCAAAGCACATAAACTATGTGGTGAGCCCCGAGGGATCCGCTGTTCGCAGAACTGATTTGCTGTACAGGGAAGCGGATCAAGCATTGAACTCCGAAGTTTCGGCAAGCAAAAGCAGAAGTGCACGTGGCATTTTCTTTTCTGCCTCTACCGGTTCTGAAGAAGGCGGTGTCAGCAGACCCGATGCGATTTTTGGACGGACAGCTCCGCGTGTGCCACAAACAGCTACTCTAGCACGACTATCGGCTAACGAGTCATCACAACTCTCGGCGTCACCTTTAGCGGCATTGTTCACGACTCCTCGTGACTTGGGTTCAAGCGATGGTGTCGGCAATGCGAGGATATCAGGATGGTTGCCGGGCACGTTTACTGATACCATACGAACATTTTTGCGGAAGACAGGAAGCGGCTACAGCGGCGTAAAGCAGTCATCAATGAGCTCACCGTTTGATGCTTCACGCGTATCGTTCTCGCAGCGAACGACGTTGGCTGATCGTGTACAAAGTTTGTCGGCTTCGCTGTCACGCGCTGTACGGCGCTTCCTGCCAGGTCACGACGCTTATGGCCCGACTGGCAATGCGGATCCGACGTCACCTGGATCTCACTGCACGTCTCCGGTAGCACTGCGACGTGCCTACGACCATGATGGTTTTTACGGTATTCCGTTCAAGGTACCGGGTCTGAACAAGCCTCTGGAGCAGGCCCAGAAGCATCAGCGTGTGGGAATTGGTCGTGACTGGGTTCAGCAGTGGCTACTGCTGGCGGCATGTGTCGTGCTTGGGCTGTCTATAGGAGCTGTTTTGGTGCGCGCTGTGGCAATTGATGCCAGCGTCTTTTCCTTGTCTAGCGCTGAAGTACATGAACGCCAAGAGAGTACCGGGCAGTTGGTGCTTGCCACCGGCACGCGATGGCTTCTGCTACCTGGACATTTATTTATGCGAGTATGGACCGCAGTGACGATTCCGCTACTGGTCTGCTACGTCGTCAACGCAATGTCAGATCTCGTGGGCTGCGCAGACAAAGGTGCGCTGGTTCTTGGCTTGCGTTCGACGGGATACGCGTTACTGTTGGCAGCAGTAGCTACCGTCGAAGGAGTTCTGGCGATGTGGTTGACGCACACGTTTGGTTGGTTCAGGGGAAGCCGCCGCGCGGCCAGTTCAGCAGCATCGATACTGTCGGATGCTCTAGGCGCGACATCGTTCCCCATAGGCACTGTTGGACTTCTCTGCAAAAGCAATGGCGCATATCTGCAGCAACTAGGGCATGATCGATACGCATGTTCGAATGCGTCGTTGTCGTTGCCGCTGTCGAAAGAGGTAAGCACGAATGTTTCCGACATTACTGGTAGTGGTCCAGCTGTGTTTGCTTTGCGAGAAGTCTCTTCAGTGTACAAAACCCCGGCATCGAGTGCAGTGTACTACCCGGTGTTGCTTGACGCAATGGAAACCACGGCCAACAGTTACGGCCTATTGGCTACTTCGGTAATGCCTGCGCGACCACGTCACACGATGGCTGCGCAGTCCACCGTGGCGACAATCGATGGAATGATCTCGCTGGAAGGCCTCGTCTTGATTGCCTTGCCTCTGGGATACGTGTGCGGGAAGCGGATCCTGCGACTGAGACGTGGTGCTCGAGCGGTGTTGTTCGAGTCACGACATGTAACAAACCCAGCCAAGGCAGATCCACGAAACACTCGCCATTACATCGTGGGCTTTCTGATGGAACTGCAGCTTGCCCTCGAGTGGTTGATCCGGTCCATGGAGCAACATTTGGCCCCCGCAGGCTTTTTCTCGCTCACGCTGGGGCACGTGGTGCTTCACCATCGCGAGTGGCATTCATTTGCGTCTCCAATGCTGTCGCTGCTTGTTGTCGCAATGGCTGCACTTGTCCTGCACGTCGTGCTGGTCTATTCGGTCGTGCGCACCCAATTTTGCAGCAGTCGACGTCGAATGCCTCTGCTGACAACAACGCGAGCTTTTGTACCGGCATTTCTGTTTGCGTTCACGACCAACGACGTTGCACTGTCGGCTCCAGTCACGATGGCGTGCTTTGCCCGCGTGCTCACAGTGACTCGATCGGCTGCCCAATTGACTACCGCAGTGACGGCAGCGTTCTCCCGCAACGCACGGGCACTGTACCTGCCGCTTTTGCTGCTCTGGCTGCTCGAGACGTCGGCGTCTGAAGTGGAGCTGCAGCTGCGTGCGTTGGACTACGTTCTGGTCGGACTCTTGTCGATGCTGAGCTGTTTTTGCGGAGGCAGCTCCCGCCTGACTCTGGCCATGACGCGCGCTTTGTGGTACATGATGAAAGTGCGTGCCCAGTCACCTGATGCTGCTCGACTGATGCCAGCGACGATGCCACTGCTGGTCGTGTGCGACGTGGTGCTTTCACGGATGGCCAGTGTCGTGACCCTGGCGGACCATCTCGTGCTCGCACAGCTCACAGCGCAGCACTGGGGAGAGACCGTCGTGGAGGAGCGGACAGTCGAAGCCGGCAATAGTAGCTACATATCGACCTGCAGCCCCCTGGACGACAGTCAGGTGCTTCGTCGTCCGTCCAGTGCAATGCTCTCGTCTGTTTGCTTGTGACGGCAGCGCAGCAACGACTGACTGTCCACGGGCTTTGGGCGCGTCTGGAGGTGCGTGTACCCGACCGACCGACCGAGCGACGTATTTAGTCTGACCGTAGTGTGAAGAAGATGTGTGTGTGTAGTCGATATCGAGTGTCGCCAAACTACCGCAAACAGACGAAGTGGCGCAATTCGCCTGACGATTATCGACCAATCACGTTTCCTGTAATTTGACTGGCGCCGAGCCGTCTCCGCGCTTGCTCGACCCTATCATTCCCAGTTTCAAGTCCGAATCCATCATGGTGCGTGCGCCGTCTCTTTGCTGTCTGTGCCAGTCACGTGTTGTAGGGTTTTAGCGGGTGTTGGGCTGCGCAATGTCCGATCGAGCAGAGCGACTCGACTTGTAGCGCTTGTTGCGTCCTGTCCATACCAAATGCCCAAACGTTTGCTCGCCCGCCAGTCAAGAGTGCTCACTCTTCTTTCCCTCATCTCTCTCGTGTTGTGTAAATGCCTTTTTGCGTTGCGCGGTGCTGTGTAGTCGAAGAAAACCGCAACGAAGGAAGTAGAGGAGGTGGTGCGCGTTGGTCCCACGCTCAAGGAGGGGGAGCAGGTGTTTGGCGTCGCTCACATTTTCGCCTCGTTCAACGACACGTTCGTGCACGTGACCGACCTGTCTGGTCGCGAAACGATCGTGCGTGTAACGGGTGGAATGAAGGTGAAGGCGGATCGTGACGAGGCGTCGCCGTACGCCGCGATGCTTGCCGCCCAGGACGTGGCCGCCAAGTGCAAGGAGGTGGGCGTCACCGCTCTGCATATCAAGATTCGCGCCACGGGTGGCAACCGGACCAAGACACCGGGCCCTGGTGCGCAATCGGCTCTTCGCGCGCTTGCTCGCAATGGCTTGAAGATCGGACGCATTGAGGACGTCACCCCGATCCCGACAGACAGCACGCGCCGAAAAGGTGGTCGCCGTGGTCGCCGACTTTAGGCGGACTTTGGGGTCATCTCGGACAAGCTGGTTTGCTCGTTGGTCGGACTCTGCTGCAGCTGCTTCTGGACTGGGAAATGTAGGCAGACACGACGTCCATCGCAGGCGACTTTGGGCTTTGCTGCTTTCGGTTGGCTAGTGTACCTGCTGCTAATTGCGAGACAGTAATGAATGATCGTATGCCTGCTCGGAAGTCACACTCACGGTTGGTGCTGCTCAAATACTCATCCATTCAGTCGTTGCCGCGAGATTGTTACGAAAGGTGGTCCTGCTTACATGGGACGCAGCAGACAGCCAAGCACGCCCGGACCTCTCCACGTCTGCGGTATCAGCTCGAGCGCCAACAGCTGCGTGTCTCGGCGAACGAGCACACGAATGCCGCTGCCAATGTTGCGGTCAACAATCTCCTTGACCGCTGTCAACTCTCGGTGATTTTCCGCGTCAGCCGTGCCAAAGCGCAGTACCTGGTCCAGCGCCTGCAGCCCTGCTGTTTCGGCCGGAGACTCGCTCTGCACGCTCTCCACCACTGCAAACGGCTGCAACTCTCTCTCGTCTGGCTTCACCTCATGCAGCGTCCGCTTCCACTTGTTTTCCAGCACCTCAAGAGACGCTCCAACATCAGTACCATCGAGCGCAGCGTTGTCCTCGACAAGAGCTGCGGTTTCTGTCGTGGTCCTCTTCAAGTCGCTACTGCGAGCTGCAAACACTCTGTTGCCACACATATACATACAGAACGAACCAGTGCGTGTTATGAACCTTTGTGCTGTCCAACATCTTGCAGCGATCCACGTACTGCGGCAGGAGCTCTTCAATTGTCGTCATAACGTGTTTGTGGTCCGTCTGCTTACGTGCGAGTAAATGGCGCACGTGTCTCACGCGATACACATCCACGTCCGCCCGCGGGAACCCCTCTGCGTCCACCAGTGGACCACTCACTCCTACATTATTGCCCGACGTTAGCTCTGCGACATAGGCTGCAATCTCCTCTTCGACCGCCTCTCGAGCTTTCACAGCGCTCTCGTACTTGGCGACAACGTCCGTTGACATCGGACCTCCTCGAAGTCGACTGATGCCGACAATCACAATAATGGTGCGATCGGTCGGGCACCTCATTCGCTGAAATGATGCCATCGACTCGACCAATCACGAGCCCTCACACTCCCATGGGTTTCTTCGCATGCTACTTGCTGACGCCTGTGCAGCCGCCACAGCGCATGCGATGCACGTACTTGGGCTTTACCGTGTCCCCTGTGCGTCGATTGCGCCAGCACAATGGAGAACTTGTGAGCGGAGCCAAGCGAACGCAAAAGTATCGGCCGTGGTACGCACGTCTTTGCGACCGCTTCATCCGACATAAGTTGACTGCTGAGATATTGTGTACTCGTTCGTGTACTCGTTCGTGTACTCGTTCTTTTTGTGTCTGCAGGGAAATGATTGCGATCGTGCACGGGTTTCCGAGCAAGTACCGAGCACTGCAATGTACGTAGCACTACAGTTTGGATAATGATCGATGGGTGGACTCATCCCTTTTCTCATTTTGGTTTGGTTTGGTTTGGTTTGGCTTGACTGCGTTCTAGTCGAGTGGGTGTGGCAGCATCCCTTTGTGAGTAAACTTACCAAGTTGCAGCTGAACTTTCTACGTGGATCGAGAGGATTCGGATCGCCACGATCGGTGAAGAGAAAGCTGACAGAAATGCTGGAGATAGTGAACTTGGAGCCGTTCAAAAGCCTGAATCTTACTATAAGCTTCACGAGCGAAGAAGTACACAGGATTGCTCGCGGCTTGGGAATGCGGTACTGTTCCGCAACGTGCAAGACAATCGAACTGGATGACTTTTCTGGTGTTGGCAAGAAGGCGGCATCAACAGAGATATCCACGTGTTACATCTGCGAGGAGAATGTGAGTTTTAAATCGAAATGCGAGGAAAAAGAAAGAGATGGAGAGGTCGCGGGGTGCTACCACGCAAGGTGCGACATGTGGTGCCATTTGACATGCCTGACGGATCATTTTCGGTCAATGAATGACGTGACTGGTCTACAAGAAACGGTCGAGAGCGGGCAATGTCCAAAGTGTGAGAAGATTATGCGGCGGTCGTTGATGGTGCAGCGTTGTGGGGAAGCTAGAGGTGTAGAAGAAACAAAGTGCAATGGAGGAAAGAAACATAGTCGAAAACTAACACAAAAGACCAGCGCATTTGCAGTTGGCGATCGATCGAAGTCACACAGTGTTTTGAATTCTGAAGAGCGTGTCGCAGTAGAAGCAATTGGCGAAGTCGGCATGGCTGCAGTCAGTACAGATCCGTCGTTGTCATTGAATGACTGCTCTGCTGAGTACGACCCAGACGGCTGGTTTGAAGACGAAGCGATGGACTGTCAGCATGGAATGGACGAAGACATCGGCAATGAAAACGCTTGGAGCTTCGATGCTTGCAATGATGTTCGCGATGGTCAAATGGAAGTTTGCTCCGAAAGTGAAATCATTGACCTAACAAACGAATAGTCAGCTTGTACCTCTACGCCGGGTAAAAGTGATCAATGGCCATGCTGTAGATTGCGACAGGATAGCCTCGGTGCTGTACAACATACTTATGTACTGACTCGTAGCTTACGCGTCTGCTGGAGCGATTAGGCGGGTGCAAGTTGTTGACGCACGAGCCTACCACGGTATCGGTATCTGTTCTTGCTCCTGGTTTAGTGCGTAATCGTCGCCATTTCGCGTACTGGTAATTGGCCTTTTCCACTATGGTTGACATTGAGTTTGCGTTGTAAACATATCAACAGCGTTTGTCGGCAAGGTGGCAATCTTTGCCGTTAAATTGTATCGATCTGAATTGCACACAGGCATGTAGGTTACGAGCTAAAAACCTGTTAGTTGCTATACGTTTACACGCGCCTTAAGCATTTTTAATATGCGGATGACAAGTCCCCGAGTAATAAAGCCATTACATGCGCGTCTTGGCGTTTTTGATCCTGCTATTCCGGCATGGTAACAACGACACCAGCGCAATCGAAAGTCGCGCAATCGTGAGAAAAGAATTGATGCTGGATATGTCGCCAGAAGTCGAACAAATCACAGAAGCACGATGGCTTTGACATGACACCTCATGTACGGATGACACTTGTCATGTATATCCACTCTCCGTTGCATGAGCGAGCGTATTTTCGAATCCTCGCTAAGAGCAGGACTGTAATCATCACGTCCAAAACTACGATACTCGACGACAGAATATGGTGATAGTATTTGACAGCTTACAGATGTCTCATACTTGTGAAAAATAACAAAAAAACCAAATAAACATGGCACGAAAAGGGTTAGACAAAATGTACAAATCAAAGTTGTTAGCCTACGTAGACAAATTGCAGCAATTAATGCAGAGCAAAAGTATAGCTTAATACATCATCGATAAAATCTACACCAATTTAGATAACAATTGTTTTTGCATCACAGGATAAATATATCATACACTCAATTACAAAAATACACTCGATAGTCACGGAAAAAGAAATTACCACAAGACGAAAAAACACCAAAAGATGAATAAACACGAAAATGCACTAGATTGTTACAAACACAACTAGAGCATTGCAAGACGAGTAAATATAAAATGCACCACAAGATCACAAATACACAACATTGAACCAGCGATGGAGACGACACGACCGAGTGTTCAAATGCCCGTAATCATTCTCACACATCCAGGTACATGTGATTCATTCCCTCTCTTATTTCATCGATTGCTAGTAAAAATACGGTGCGTTGCACAAAAGAAAAAATGCGTCAAGGCTTCAAGCGTGGTTGTATCTGTTTTGCATCGTTTGAATGTAAACCCATCTTTCTTTTATTGCTTTGATTCATATCGTTCGCAATGGATACTATAGCAATGAACAGGTCTCTTCTTAGTGCTATCGTTGAATTTTTACGGGATGAGACAGCGCAGTGTCGAAATGGCGCGTAGGAAATGCTCGATAAGTTGGTTGACGTACGACCCGAGACAGCATGGGATGACGTGTGTAGACAAGCAACAAAAAGTGAGGCGAGATTGAAAAGGGATGACGGACTTACTTTGGTGTTGCTGCGAAGTGGTCAGACAAATGCTTCAGCACACAAAAGACAGATTGCATGATGCCAAAACACGCAATGCTGATGGATGCCGATGGTATATCGTGGTCCGTCACAAGGAAGAAGCTGTTACTGGTGGTAGTGGCGTCGGAGTCAAGATGGATGTTGTATTATATATGCTGCGAAGATTGACGAAATAGTGTTACTTGCAGTGGAAGACAAGGTGCGAAGAAGCGTAGTAGCTCGGTCCTCTTGGTCCACTTCGGACTTGAAGTACAAACACACTGATGCATCATTATGCTATACCTTCTTTACAGAGTCGCTCTTCCTGCGAGGACATTCAGTAAGTAGTCGCATCGTAGAGTATTTGTTTGGTGTGGCAAATGTATCGGCGAGTCAGCAATTTCTTGCCATGAATCTACGCAATGAATGTAGACAAAAGACTGATCCGGCAATTTCTAAATCGCCGAAAATGCGCTTTTCGATAATCTACCACAGTGCTTTCGCAAATGACATCGAAAATTATCGAAATTATCGATGTGATCTCAGGCATGTGTATATTTGGTGGTAACGTATACATCACTTGTGCATTTTGTATTTCGCAATCATCTGGTGCATTTTGTATTTCCCTTTTTTTGCGATTATCGATTGCATTTATCCTACTCCATTCTTTTTCTTGATTATCTAGCGCCCTTTTTTATTTTCCCTTCTTATTTGCAATTACCTAGTGCATTTATAATGTTTCCATTTTCTTTCGTGTGCTAGTCTTGGCGCATTTTTTATTCTCAGGTCGTAATGCATTTTGCTGTGAGACTGCTGTGCTTTAGTTGTATACGCTCAGCTGCTTTGATTTTAAATGTGTATGTTGACACTTTGCGTAGCACTTATGGCGCACATCTGGCACTGCTATTGAGTTTATTGGCTGATGCATAAAGTATATAAGAGCCGATATGTTGTGCGCAAGAAACGAAGTTGCATATTCTTGCCAAAAGTAATATTTATCACTCTTATCCAACAAATCATTTACCTATATTTGTCGATACGATGTACCAGGATCATCGGTCACATTGTCAGTCACTGCTTGACATTCCCGTAAGATAAGCTCAGCAGTCATGACAGTGGAAAGACCGATCAAGAAAGAAGTCCACGTCACTTGACAATTTGCGCACAGCTCGGTAGATCTCGAGTAACCTAAGACGACTCGTAAGGCTTCTCTCGTGCGGTGTTGTTGGCTTCTGCGCTGTCTCCGGAACGAGTTGACGGCTCGTCTATTCTAAAAGTGGCGACAAATAACAGCTAGTCTGCCGAGGCTAGTCCGGGTACCAAGGACCCGAATGAAGTTCCCACAGCGGTGACCCGAGGACCCAAACAAAGTTTCCACAACAGTTTGCAACGAGCACGGGAGAGTTGCGACAACGGACGTTGAGCGAGTAACCGAGCTCTGCTGAACTGGCCGTTTGTAAGCTCGTCGAGCTTGCCAAGCTGCCATTCTCGCTGGAGATGTACGAAATGAAGACGTTCCACGAGCTCCAGATCAACAAAAACGCCTTGGAAACCATGAGAAATCCTCGCATACAGAACTTGTGGAGTTCTACTTGCGTCTTTGCAGATTTCGACCCCGAAACGTGGAAGACGTTGATTGCAGCATTTGCGAAAACGTGCGGGGACGACGTCTTGGTGACGACGCTCGCTGGAGCGAAGAAGTCTGATAACACAGCAACAAATACGATCACTAGGATGTTGCCGTAGCAGTAGCTAGAATAGTAACTGAAGGAAGGTATATCACCTGACGAAGCTCAAGGTGCATGAAGAACTTGCGGGAGCAAAGCCGTATACTTTCGAGCGATCTATAACGGCTTGCAACGATAAAAGTCCCGGTCGTACCTTGTACTCAGACTCGTGACGCTAAAGCTAGCTTAGCAGTGAGAGTGAGTTAGCCTTGGCGTTGGTGAAAGGCGCCAGCACCCACGCACCCGAAAATGGAAAGCTCTGGAGCTAGAGAAGACGCTGCTTACGAAATGCAAAGATAAAAAAACTCGTCGTCGAAGGACATTGAGGACCGAATCGAACTGACCGAAAGAGTCGACGATCTGATACTCCCAATGCTAGCAATGTTCATGACTTACATCGCTAGTGGCGACGCATAGAATATATGGTGGGAGACTTTGCTGTTTGAGATGTATGCGTTGTACTTTGGGTTGGAGCTGTTGCAGTGTCCCTGATAAGGCAAAGGATGATTTTATATTGAAGCCACGCATGGAGGGATTGATAATGAGGCTCTTGAAGGGCTGGCTGGCTGAGGGTAAATCATCACCTGAGAACGTCTGCAAGTTGCTGGAGTTTGATGTAAACATTGACGGCGTATCGTGCGATCAACAAGTGGCACTAGAAGACTTTATCAAGCTCTACAGCAAAGGAAATACACCCGTGTCAATTTGCTTGCACTTATAACGTCAAGCTAAAGCTATGGTGAGGACACTGGTACGTGCAAATACTATCGACGTCTTGAAAGGGGAAGTAGAGGCCTTACAATCAGAGCTTCTGGAGAGATGGCTAGCTGCTGGCAATGGAGATGATTTGTTCCAGTCACTGGAAGCTAGATACATCGGAGTCGGTAGCATCATTCGATTCATAATTTGAGTTGGTAGAAGACTTGATCAGGCTCTACAACGATGAGAATCCCACCCACGCCGATTTGCTCACGACCATGATGCCAGGCTGTGGTAGTGAAGACCGCCATGTATGTCAATTAGGATAGGATAAAAGATTCGAAACTTGCGTCCTATCCAGATTTGGAATTGAAGATGCTGCTGCTCAATAAATGGCAAGATAAAAATTGGACGCCAGAAGGTGTCATGTATCGGCTGGGAACGACAATGAGGCCCGAAGAAATGAGATTGTCAAAGCTAGAGACGTTTGTGCAGTGTGCATACATGCTTGACACAAATCTTTGGTGCGTAAGCTGACGGTACTGAAGATGTTTACGAAGCGCTTCGGGAATGAAGCTGTGTCAAGAACGGTGACAAAGGCAAGGGCAAACTATCCGTCAGATGCGTACAAGAAGGTCCTAAAGCCACAAATTTTGACATCTGACTGTCTCATGGTAAAACATCTAACGACGTGTTTGGGATACTGGGGCTTGGTGAAGAACGAAGCTCCACTCATTGTTCGATCAGCGCGTCTCGTTGTTGGAAAACTAAATCGAGCGCTACAACAAGGAGAAGCCCACTCATGTCTTTCTCGCGTTCGTGACATCTGACTTTGGTGGGGAGAAAGAATTATGTGTCGAAATTGGCAAAATCAGCGGTTGATCTTGATAGGAGTGAAGGATCCATTGAAAGTTATGCTGTCTGCGAGATGAAAGGTTGGGAATTTGTTGCGAGCGATGGCCATGGAATGAATGGAAATGGCCGATACGGTACAACAGCTGAAAAGTCCAC